CCCCCCCCCCCACATTTTTATATAGATTAAACAGTAAATTTGGAAAGAAAAATAAATTCTCAAAGGATTTCAAAAGAAGAAATTTTAAGAGTAGAAGTATGAGAAAACAGGAAAAAAAATGGAATAATTAAAACCCAAGATCTCATATGAGATAATGATGGGCATCCTTACTCGTTACATATCATACAAGTGCATATTATTTTCATCCCCATACATACATATATATTTATATATATATATATATATACAACAAGAATGTCCGTGGCCATTTCGGTTCGGTTAATCAAAACCAAACCAAACCAAACATCGTGGATAGATAGACATCCTATGGAAGCACAGATACAGTTATACGCAATGGACAGACAAACACAAGAATGCATTTCGATTCAAGTATACATTTAAATATACTTCTTCTTCGTGCTTACCTTGGCGTGGAACATGTGTTAAGTTTAAAATAGGTAATGGCAATGGCGACAAGACCATACCTTTTTTCATCTACAAGAACTTCTCTATGCTCTTCTCCAGCGTCTCTTTCGGGACAGCTCCTATGATACTGTCCTTTTTCTCGCCGCCTTTGAATATCATCACCGTTGGAATGCTCCGTATCCCGCAGCGATTGGCAATGTTCGGGCTCTCGTCAGTGTTAACTTTGTAGAAATCTAATTTACCTGCAAAGTCGTTGGCCAGTTGATCAACTATAGGGTGGATCATACGGCATGGTCCACACCACGGAGCCCAGAATTCGACTAGAACGGGGCTCTTGGATTCAATCACGAGTGATTGCCAATCTGAGTCTGAGATTTCGGGTACTGCACATCAAACCAAAAAACATCAAGACCGTTTAACACGTATCAGCTTGAATGAACATCAAAGAAAACAAGCATGGAGAGTAAGCTCCCAAGCCACATTTTTGTTCAAGGTCAAGGTCGGCTAAATCCTTGAAGACATCAAATGTTAAATCGCAGATTAGTTTCCAGCCCCAGAGAACTCAAATAAACTTAGTATATCACAAGTTAGTATCAGATAGATTTCGATTTCGATCTCCTATATATCACCAAGAACACCAAAAACGTAGCCTACTCAAATGTGTTCCTCCTTTCACCCACAGTAAAACGAATCACCAAAACACTACAACATACACCGATGTGGAACGAAATTAGCAACTATACTCCATCACGAATCCATCGATTGACAAAACAGAGGAAGAAAGTTAAGGACCAGACCTTCGACGGCGGCGGCGGTATCCTGAGCCTCGCAGACAATTCGTCCACCGCGAGCGAAATCCGATCTGCGGCTTGGACCCTGACTCACCGAGCCGAAGGGCCGAGTGAACAAACTCCGCCGAACCTTCAGCCCGCTGAAACCCGGCAGCCCCGCTGGATACATCCGGCGTACAGAAACCGACGAAACCGCGGAAGCGGAAGAACGGGAAGCCGTGATCGGAAAAGCATAAACGCGAGTGACAGTGACGGAGTCGAGCAAAGACGCCATTGAAGCTGGTAGCGAGAGAGAGAGAGAGAGAGAGAAAGGTAAAGGTGTTTCAGATATTTTTGGTAGAGAGAGAGAGAGAGAGGGAGAAGTGTTTGTTTGGTAGTTATGGAGGACGATTCGAATGACAAGGAGTCGGAGGACGTAGGATTCGCTTAGGATAATGATAATTCTTTCCAGCACTTTCCTTTTTATATTTTCTGTAAATTCGCCACGTGGACGGTTTTGATTCCTCCACGTAGACGGTCTTATTCTTTCCATTTAACCCTTTCCACGCACCCCACGCAATTTTTTTTTTGTTTGGAATGATCTAATATCTTATATCAAGATATATACTAATTTTCGAATCCATAGTCAACTATATAATTTGGATTATATACCTCTTTCTCTTTCTCAGTTTTAAAGTTTGAATTTGGGACGAGACAGATATTTTACGCTTCTATTTTACCTATGGAACTATCCAAATTTGAATCACTCACGACACGGTATTTATTCATATATAAATCAATTATTTCCATTGTTCATTAAGAACTCCTATCCAATGAAATGGAATTTAACAGCATCCTGATTATGAATCATATTAGAAAAATGAGCTGGAGTTAGAGTATCATCATTATTCATTAAGGATAAGAAGAGAATCTTTTGTAAGCATTAAGGATATGCGTCAGCATTTGAAACGAATCACTAAACATAGAGAATTCCACCAAACCAAACGTCTGTCTATCCCCCTTCATCCACGTCTTGGTTTGCACGACTAATTTTAAGCTCTCATGATTCAATACAATCCTAACAATAAATATGCGGTTTCATCTTCTTTTTTTTAAAAAAAAAAAAGAAAAAAGAAAAAACTCTGCAAATTTTGCGCAGAGGGACCAGAATTCGAACCCTCTGCTCCAATCCGAGTCACGCGACAGGGCAACGCATGGACAGCTCCTCGCATGATGCATCTAATCTCATGACTCTGCTTGGCCTGGTGATCATTGTCGGCGTCTGCTTCGCCCTTGCTGTTCTCATAGCCATCACTGCAACCGCCCTCTTCATCTATCTCGTCATCCAATGCCTTCTCCGACCATTCCTAGGACGATGCCTCCACATCGATCTCGAAATCGGAGAGAGAGGCCAAAGGGCTAGAATCGTCACGTACCACGCTATCATCCCGGCCGATCTGAGATTGCAGCCGGGGATTTTCGAAGCTCGAGATCATAACGAGCCGCGAGAGAAACACGGGTTGAGACAGAACACGATCGAAACATTGCTTCCGAGGCTGCCAGTCGAGGAGAGGTCTGTGGGCTATGGAGAATGCGTGATCTGTCTCAGTGACTACGCCATTGATGGGGAATGTAGGGTTTTCCCAATCTGCGGACATATGTATCATGTTCACTGTATCGATGCCTGGTTGAAGAACCATCTCACATGCCCTATTTGCCGGAAAGAACTGTCGGATTCGCGACAAAAGCTCGAGACTTTCAGATTTGTCAGTAGAGATTGATTGTACATAAAGCTTGAGAAATTCTCTGCCCATTTTGTTATTACCCTGAATTGATTTTTATTAGACACCCATTTTTGTTTTCAATGCTTTTGAGATTATTTTTTTTCCCATCCTGAAACAGTCTGACATTAAGGAGATTCGACAAGTCTGGTCGCGTGATCAGACCTATCAAAGGAAAGGGATTCAATTTAGATCCCTGTTTCTGAACCAAATCCAAGAACCCAGGTTCGATAACCGGAAAGGAATCCAAGATAACCGGAATTCGGTTAGTAACAGGATAGACCGAACCTATCCGACCCGACATTCCCACCGCCGATTTTCGGTTTGAGGAGCAATCCCGCCGCCGCCGATGATGAAGACGCCGTTGTTAAGGGAGACACAGCTCGAGTTCGGGGTTTATGTTATGGAACATTAATTTAAGAAAGGTTGTATAAATATATACAGAGATCGGTGTAGGGTTTCTGCAGGCTGAGCCCGAACTAAATTTGGAGCTGCAACTAATAATTTGATGGATTAACTGTACAGGTGAGAGATTAACCTCTGAATAATCATACTATATACGTTAAGTAGTAAAGCCTCAAAAGAAAGCACTTACATATACCAAAGTCTCTGCACCTTCACCTGCTGCAAAGGCCAACCTTCATACGGCCTCTCGCCTTCTTCAAAAAGACGAAAACTTTATCTTCTTACTACTTCATGTGCCCAAACAAGATCCGTTCCTTCATCTTCTAAGAGCAAGATTCATCTCGATTCTCGGTCTCTTTTGGTTTTCACTTTGTTTTTCTTCTCAGTCTCTGCATTACTACTGCTGTTGTTCCCAGTCGCTTTGTCCATGTCCTTGACCCCAAGAACGGTGAATTCACTCAAAAGCATTTTCATGAAACTATCCACATCGGCTCTGAACTTCCTCGAACCACTCGGGCCACTCTCTTCCACGTCCTGAACGCCTCCCTTCACCAGCGATCCCACCGGCGCACCATCCTTGTATGCTTTGCACGCCTTCAATATGTCATGGGCTCGGCTGAAGAAATGACCGTACGCAAAGTCCTCAAAGTGCTGCACTCACAGTTCAGAATCAGAGATACCCATCAAACAAAATCGGCTTTTTTCTTAAGGGGAAGAAACAAAGGAGTGGGGGATTATTACAACCTTGGGCGGTCTTCTCATGTTGTAAACCATTGTCTTCAAAGACAGTATAAAGGTGTTCTCGCTGTAAGCTTTCGAATGGGACTCGCCCAATGGAGTACCGATGGTTCGCTCATACCCGGGTTCATTGAAGTAAGGGTTCTGGTTCAAGATGAGTGCTTGGATCGAGACAAGAACCTGAAGCATCGTCGAGACATTGGGGATCCATTTCTCCCTATTGTTACCACTCCAGGTGCCAAGAAGACTCAGACATACTTTGCCACAGTTATATAGATTCGGGTTTATTCTGAGCCCACCAGCATGGTAATGAACTTGCTGTCACCATTAAAATCCAATCACCATCATCAGGGTCAAAAAAAAAAACAGAACAGGCATGTAGATAGATAAAGCGCATTTGGAGGACATGATGACAATACCGGTGGTGAATTAGGATAGGTAACAGGGAAGTAAATATCGAAGAAGAAAAGACCGTCATGGTAGGGAGTTCCTTCTGCTCCGATTATTACAGCCCTCAACAGATCCATCCGAGATTCATACGCTCTGACAAATATCGTATCTGTTGCAGTGGAATGAACCTAATAAATCAAAGGGAGGTTGTTTTTCATCTTGAGAAAATTTATGTCTAGAGAGTGGACTCACCTGGCAAATCGTTCTCGAGGATTTTCCACTCTTCTTGGATCTTTTTCACCCAACTCTTTGCACACTAACAAGACAAAGAAAGGCAAAGAGAATTAATCAGCACTTGAACTTGACAAGAACAATTAAAATATATTTCGGAGAAGAAAAATTATGTCAGCTTGTCACCACCTGTTTTGAAGAATTCCCCCTGGAAGCATAATGGTGATCTGAACAATCTTCGACGATGTCAAATCTTTTGAAAAACAAAAACTTTCCCAGAAAATCTTCCACGTTTTTCTGAATACTGGAGGAATCCTTAGCTGAAATAACTTCATCCACTCTTGAGCGTGAACTAGCGGAAGCATGGGAATTAGGGGGAGTAGTTGGTGACAACGGAAGCACCGCACCGGAAGGATGTGCCCCGCCACCATTGCTGCTACTAATACCGGAAAACGGGTTCCAAGATTTGGAGGGAGGATAATCTTTCGGAAGAGGATATGCAGAAGAATAGATAACCTGAGTATTAATATTCTGAGCCTTAGCTTCAGAGTTTGGAATATCATTCCACGGTTGAGAAGTAGAAGTCGGAATCTGTGGCCAGGGAGAGAGTGATGGATTTACACCGGTAACACCCGATTTCTTCCAGCTGTCTCCATGTGATGAAGTACTAGTTCCACCTGATTTCGCTGCTTCTTTGTTAGTTGAATTCTGATTCTGAAACCAAGCAATTGACACCTCTACATCGGTAGGGATATCCTTAGAATCTAAAAGGTCTTGAAACAAGGAGTAGTCATCAATATCCATTGCTTCGTCTAGATATTGATCGTAATCCTCATAGTCTTCGTAGAACAAACAGTCTGGGTCCATCATGTTCTGTGAACCTGGGGACATGCCAGGATGAGGTTCGATGCTATTCACTGGGCCGGAAGCATATGTAGCACTATCCTGAAAATTTTCGACTCTCAGACTCTGAGTAACAACATACTCTCTAAACAAAGAAGATGCGAAAGGATGAGTAAATACCATAGCATGCTTCTCATAAGAACAGGAGCTTACTTGCACAGCCTTCCCTTTGTTCTTCTTGTCAGAACCCCCACCGTTTTGGATTTCATATCGCTCCACATCAATCACTTCCATAGTAACAGCCTACAAGAAAATGATCTTAGCTGAGACTCAGGATGGAAAAGCTGAAGATTCAACTAGAAAAACAAAACCATCTTTATGTTTTTTTTACAACCAAAGACTGATATCCAGATTGGCTCTGAAAAAGACTTGAGCATAGAGAGCAAAAACCCAAAAAAACCCATAGATTCGTGCTTCTTTTCCATGCTTAAACACTTGAAAAAGACATGGAAAGAAGCTCAATTTTCATAATGCGTGGAAAAAACAGAACAAAGCCTGACATTACAGCCTCACTCTGTGCAACCTCGACAAGCTCTGTATCAGGAAAAAGGTTTATGAAGAAACCGAAACAGAGAAGATCACCAATCGTCTTCTCTCTTCCCGAATAACATTGACAACAAACAAAGGATCTACATCAACATGGGAAATTCACAACTGCGATGTAGCGACAATGATTCGCTGGAACGAATATGATCAATCACGAACGGTAAAACCCATTATCACAATCAAGCGTAATGCACGAAAACGAGCAAAAACCCTAAGGCCAAACGAATTAAAGAAAGCCCACTAAAACCCTGAAATCGAACAAAACCCCAAATTCAAAAATGCCCAGATGATCGCACACCATCGCCGAACAAAAACCGATCCATACCGGAACACGATCGACAAAACCAAGTAAAAAATTCCGCATGTATCAGGTAAATCGGTGAATTTGAGCAGTGAAACAAACTTCCAAACCAAATATTCCCTCCGAGGGAAAAAAAAAACCTGTTTTTGCTTCCGTGTTTTCGAGCTCGAGGCCAAAGGAGGGGCGATCTCTACCACGTCAGGCTCCATAGATGATCTCCACCAGCGGAATTTCCTGTTTGGCAACCAAGAAGACGAGAGAATTCGCCACGGGCTTCGACGGAAAAAACGGAAAGAAAACGATCGAGAAATCTTTGGATTCTCCACCTTCGCGCCGTATTACACACAAAACACTAAGATTAACAGATAGCTATGAACACTACAGAGTCCGATTCTCTCATTTTCCTTTTCCTTAATTAACTCTCATCAGTTAACTTAATTTCCATCTCCTTTTCGCTCTATCCAGAGTCAATAGGGAAAGTCATTCGGCTGATCCAAGTCCACACAGTGGGTCCCACAAAAAATCTGACGGTCCATATCTGCTGATGTGATGACGTGGCATGATCAGAGGTGGGGTATCACGGGGATAGGATGGGAAGGGAAGTTCGACCAACGCCATAAATCGACAGCCGTTGGATGAGAAGAAGAACGGTTTCATGAATCCAACGGCTGGGAACTTTTCTTTCCTTTTCTTGGTGCGCGTCTCGGATTCCGATAGAAATTTTAGCGGTTCGGTTCGAGAACGATTTATTCGGTATTCTAAAATTTATACCAAATTAGTATCATATATTATTTGGTTTGTTTTTAATTTCGGTATAGTTCAGTTTCGATTTTTGTTAAAAAACATTTAATTTTCTTAAAAAATTTCGATTTTTCGAGAATTTTGTAAAATTCGATTCGGTTCAGTTACGGGAAATTCGGTTCTATAAAAATCATACCATTCAAAAATTTTGAATGATACAATTTTAAAAATACCGAAATTTTCGGTTCGTTACAATTCGATTCTTCGAAACCCTCATCCCTATCCCTTATTATCCCCGAGAAAAGCGATCATATGGATACCAAATCGTTAACTGGATATGGTCAAAGTAGTCATAGTAAAATTGATAAAATATCAATCAAATCTTTATTTGTTAAAATTAATTATCTATAAATCGACATAAATTTTATTTTTATAGTAAAACTTATTCTTATTAATTTTTATTTAAAATTTTGTTAAAAATATAACTATATTTATGGTATCAATTTGATATCATGTATATTATTTAAACATGTTAATATTATAATTTGTGAAGAATTATGTGGTTATTTTTTATGATAAAAATGCTAATTATATCTGATAAACAAATACTTCAAAAAGTACAAACGTCTATAAGAAATAAGAAATTATGTAATTATTAAGGTATTCCGTCTCAACAAAGCACCAAAGGATAAAGAAACATAAAACTTTTTTATCAGAAGGTATTTTCATAATCTAATTTAAGATATATATATTATATTGATATAAATAAATTAATTAATAGATGTTATGAAATTTATTTAGATTTATGGATAATTGCAGTTATAATTGAATAATTATAGAGAGTAGAGTATGGTGTTGATTTGTTCATATAATATGTTGATTAATTTTTAAAAAAGTTAGGAACTAGAATAGATTTCTTTTTTTTGGTAAAAAAGAATAGATTAATAACGTTACTTCGTATTATTATTATTATCATCATCATCATCATCATTTATTATTATTATTATTATTATTATTATTATTACTGAATAAAAAAGATCATGAATGACGTTCTCTTATAACACGTTAATATTGTTCATCTGAATGCTAGCGGTTTTGTATTTAATGTTGGATGCCGATCCATTAAACTTCAAATGTATGGAATTTATGAGATATTTTACACAAATAGATTATTTTAATGGGTATAAACTAAAAATAAAATTATTTATTTAATTTGATTCAATTTTTTATCGTTTCAAATTCACTCTTTTTGTGGGTTTTTTTTTCATTGTTCATTTGCTTTCCAAAAAAACTAGTCATACAATTTTTATATTTATATTAGATTGTGGTTAACTTTGGATTTTATTAAAAAATCCTTTTCAATATTTTTCAGTTAATTGGATTTAATAAAATTTATTTTAAAATCAAATTTAATTAAGTATCTACAATTTTAATTGGAGAGAATCGAAATGTCTTGGGATCAATCCGTGGTAATCGAAAAAAAACACCCTTAAAACTGGATAATTAATGTGTTGAAAAGTAAATACAACTCCGCCAATAACTTAATTGAAAATACTTTATAATATTTTTTTCATGAATGATGTATCGTATTTATGAATTGAGGTGAGGCCATATATTATTTTTCCCGCTATTGATCAAAGATTCAAAACAGCATATATATATATATATATAAATAATTTTAAGGGAAAGAAATTATGGCCCAATTAGCAAAAGCGAGCGCAAAGAGCATTTGTCCTAGGGTCGTTTGCACACGTAATTTACATGCAGAAACCAATTATAAATTATTTTTGAAAATTTAAGAGGGAGAAAAAAAAACAAATTATTTATTATTCTTAAAGGTAGCTTCCATGAAATATAAACTTTAGAAAGTCATTGCATTGCGTCGAATATTAATCCAAAATCTATATACGTGAAAAAAAAAGAGAAAAGAAAAAATATAAGTACAATAATATTAAAGATTAATATTTTCTGATTATAGGTTTCCACTTTGTTCGATTTTGTGCAATTCGTGCAATGGTTATCCATATTGATCATTGAATCTACCCACACATATGTCTTGTACTGCTGATGGGATCCGTGCCAACATACATACATACATACATACATACATACATACATACATACATACATACATACATACATACATGTACGCATGTTTCTGGTTTTCGGAACAACGGAAAAAAAAAACAGTGGGCGAGTTATTTCAAACAATAATTTTCAGTGAAATGTAAAAAAAAAAAATCAGATTTTTTTCATGTTATAGATTATTTTATTTCAATACTTTATCTCATAATTGTAATATATATAAAAACAAAGAAGCCATAATATCTCTCGTCCATAAATTCAGATTCCCTTCTCCATGTATAAGTAGAGGGCTTCACAACTACACAAACACAAAAAACCAAAGCCTTTGCTCCCAGACAGATCCAACAACCAAACGGAACAATGTCTGACAAATGTGGAAACTGCGAGTGCGCTGACAAAGCTCAGTTCATGTACTTGTTCTTGTTCTTCCCCTCTCAACCCTTTTGGTTCTGATTTAAAACTAAGACTGCCCCTTGATCATAAAGTTTACAAATTTGTTATTTTCTTGGATGATTAAGTTCTGGGTCACCGTAAAAATCTGAACTTTGTTAACCTTTGAAAAGATTTCTTCCCGTCTTCCCCAAGACCATGAATTGACTTTGCTTCTGTGTTGTTCTGTTACTGCTAGGGGTGGGCACAAATACCCGAAAATCGGGTATCCGTCGGATACTCGTCTCACGGATACCCGATTTTAGGGTACTCGTAATTTTCAAATCCGAATCCAAATCCTTATTTTTCAATACCCGTGAATCCGGATCCAAATCCGGATAATAGAATTTTTAAAACCGGATATCCGCGGGTACCCGCGTATTATGATTATAAATAATTATATCTTATATTTATATAACATTTTTATAAAATACAATTATTTTTCATATTTTTTTAATATTAATTCAAAAAAATTAAATTTATTATTATTTGTCTCTTATTATCTCTTTTGTCTTATATATTTTATCATAATTCATCAATTTTTATAAATATATCTTCATGTTTTAAAAATTTTATATATGAATATTGTTGTTTTTCTTAAATAAATCCGGATCCGGATATCCGCGAGTACCCGACTATTATTCCGGATACCCGTACCCCGGATACTCGTAAATACCAAATCCCGGATACAAATCTCATAGTTAAATACCCGAGCCTCCCGGATCCGAATCCAAATCTCTCGATTTTTCCGGGTATCCGACCCGTGCCCACCCCTAGTTACTGCAGCGAAGGAAACAGCTTTGTGCTTGAGGCCGTCATCCAGACCGAGAAGATGTAAGCTTTACAACCAGATCCATGTAAATGATGGTGATGATGATGATGTGTTGATTGTTATCATTGTTGCAGCAATGAGGTCATGGTCATGGAAGAGAATGATGGAAAGTGCAAATGCGGGTCGAGCTGCAGCTGCGTCAACTGCACTTGTGGCGACCATTGAAGCTCGTATCTCTCTCTGAGCTCAGGAGCCACATGAATAAAATTCCCACACTTTTTTTTCCTGGCTTCATAATAAACTGGAAACAAGATGGGAAGATTCAGTCTTTAGATCAATTTGGTCTGTATTTACATCTGTTTGTTATGTTCTGCATTTGTTCTTCCCTCCATCCCGGCAACATTGCAGGAACAAGAAGGCATTTGGGCATTGGTAAATATTCAGACAGGAAAACACTTCATTGTGAAACACATCAACAATGATTACTACTCTATAAAATTCCATAACAGTAGTAGCAAATAAAATCGTTTATCCTTAAAAAAAAATATCATTATTCCACTGCAATATTTGCCAAGAATCCATCCGCTATCTATGTTTTCCTCCGTAACAGAGGAATGAATTTTGCAAGTGTCAAGAAACACAAAGCCTACGACTTATCGCCCTCTTCTATCATACTGACTTTATGTGTGGAAGAGCTCAAGAATGAAAAACCTGCCATCATTACATACTTTTGTATGATCCGAAATCACGAGATTTTGCTTCTCATACGTTAAATCCCTCGGCACGAAGACACATACGATGAGCCTCGATCCATTTCGTACAAGCTGATTCACCGTGCTCCACTATGCACTCGTCTCTTACCTTCTTTGTCTCAGGGCAGGCACAGCATATCCTCTTCTTCGGTTTGGTCTCCGCTTCTACGACCATGTTGGTTGGCTCTGGACCAGTTTGGGCCGAGGAGCACACATCGTTTTCCGCTGTTTGACCACTCATCCTGTCGTGTTATTGCAGATACTTATGTTAAGGCAGAGCACGGGCACACGTTCAGTATCACAGAATGCTTACGGATATCTCTAGTTCAACGTCTAAATAGACTGAATGCGGTTTTTGTCAATATCGCCTGTTTTCATCTGTTCTCATGGAGAACTAGTTCCCGGAAATGCATTACCACACATCAGGAAACACTTGAAACTGGCATACTTTTATCTAACACCGACACAAACCCGAAACCTAGAGTTAACCAAGAAAGAGAGATTTAATCTGACGACACCCTTCAAGAACAAAGAACACAATGGAAAACGATGAGTATATAAACCGGCATGGGGAAAAATCAAAAGAACCACACAAGTTACTCCTATGGTTCATATGATTCCTTAACCTACAATAAGCTAAAGAGCTATCAGAAAAATGTGGTCTTTCCACGAAAAAGGAGAATTCAGCAATTCTTCCAATTGCAGTTACTAGGTGACAATTCTTGCGAATTTTTCATAGGCAAGTATCGGATTCAAACATTTCGCCTCCATTTCTATGCGCAAATCACATCTGAAAAGTTGTTCGACCTCCCAAAGCAAAAGTTCTAAAGCTTAAACCCTAAAATCCTAAAACCCTACAGACCCAAAATCAAAGAAGGTCCCTTTCATAAACTAAATCCACACCAACTCAGAAAGAAATCAACCCAACGGAGAGAACAACCAATCAGTCAATGAAACCCAGGAAAGAACTAACAAAACCCATAAAAAAGAAGAGGGGAAATTCTTCTCGCAATCGATTTCGAACCCTCCAATAATCCCAACAATGCGAAGGATGTGAACATAACTTTCCAGGGAGGAGAAAATCAAAAAAAAAAAAAAAACTTTCCAGAAGAGAAGAAAAAAACTGACCTTTGGAACGATCTCGCAGAGAGAGAATCGAGGAGCAGAGAAGAAGAAACCGGTGGAATATCGGCAAAAGAGTTGACGCAGTGTGCCAGAAGGCCCAGAACCTTCGAATAGCTGCAACGTTATTGAGCCGAGTTTGGACTATCCGGGCCGAACCGGGCCCAAATATTTACCACTAAATTATCAATTACTACAAAATATAAAAAAAAAGTATGTTATCTAAAAATTTTAAAACTCTGCATTTTGTGCTTACCAATAAAAAAAAATTTAATATTCAATTTATTTTATTTTGTATTCCATTGCTCGTAAATATGGTGACTTATTTGATTAATAACCAAAAAATTGAATTGATCCAAACCGAATAATACATAAGTCGAATCCAATTATATATAAAAGTAGATGATTAAAATTTTTTTAAAATCTAAAAAAAATCCAATTCAAATTTGTACCAAACCGAATAAAAAAAATACTGAAAATCCGTAATTTTTTTAAAATAAATATTTGTATTATAACCAATCCAAACCGATCTGAATTTAATATAAAAATCGAATGGTTATACTTTTTCTAAAATTAAATATAATCAAATCAAACCAAACCCTAAACTCTAAACCCAAATAAACCACATCTAATATATATATATATATATATATATATAGTATATTCCCCAATTCTGAATTATAATAAATTTAAGACCAAAAGGTCGGTAACATGAGAAACCGACGAGACAATTGTAGTTTTCACGTGACAAGTTTGTCTCAAAGATAAGAAACCTCACAAGGGCAAGAAAAGGACAAAATAAAGTTTTGTATTTTATATTTTTTGGGTAGAGATTGTGAAAATATCTTGGGATGGTATTTGATGCGAACAGAAACAGACTATCAACTATGTGCAAAGATCAAAGAAAACCCATGGATCTACAGAAATCAGATTATATAAGAATCGATACCAAACAATCTTGAACTTATTTCTCTTAAGAATCCATCAGTACATGGATTTTTCATAAAGAGACGTCATCAGCTTTATATGATCCACTTTTTACTTCTAATGATTCCAAGATTCCGACATTTGTGATCCGGAACTGGAAGAAACTCCAAACTCACATGACGATCCATCACTTCGGTTTCTGAGATTCATCACTGTTCTCGTCTTCGATCTTCTGAATCCATGAACGGTCCCAGAAAGTGGTTTTGATCACTGCAGGTTCTCGACCGATCTCCACTTCAAATCCAAACCCTAATCTTTGCTCAAACAACAGGTTATACAGATTATTACACATCAATCATACTTCTCCCTCCAGGTATAGAGAAGGAAGAAGAGCCAAGAGACAGCAAGGGCAATGTCTCCAAGGGCTTGTTTTGGCCATTCATACGCAAGATCTTCGAGCTTCCATTCAAACGAAACCCTCCAAACAGCCATCAACACATACAGAACCACGCAACCTTTGGCAAAGAATCCGTGGAAATCTCTGTCCTTTACGAAAGACACCAAGAACAGAACCAAACCTATCGCGAAGAGAAGCAAACCAGAGAACGATTGCGAAATCTGGATGATGAGATCGTCGTGAGGAGTCGATCCTTTCAGCTTGCTCGCGATCTCTCTGCCATGGCCAAAGATCGAAGCTTTCTCTGCGTAGAACATCATTAGGGTTCCACTCGTGAGCGCGATAATCGAATGCAGTATGCAGATTACGCGAAACAAGGGTGAATTCATCGCCACTGCAGTCATTTAGCTAAAACCCAAAGGATCAAAACAGGAACTTTATCCCGAAAGATTGACGAAACGATCAAAACCCTTTTGAAGAAATCGCAAACCCATGTTTAAGATTATCAAAAAGATATGGAATTCGGAAACAGAAGGGGGAAAACGGGTTTTTGTTCAGAACCCAAATGAACCTGAAGATTGGATCTTTAAAAGAAGAACAAAGAAAGGTTTTTTCGTTTTTAAATTCACGGGTTTAATGGGGAGATGGGCGTTGCGGGGTTTTGTCTGTATGGGAAATCAATGGAGGAAAGGAAAGGTATGGTTTAGGGATTTGGGAAAAGGGGGCGAAGATACGATTTAGGGATTTGGAACTTGGATAGATTCCATGATGGGTTTTTTTGGTGATTTGTTAATTTATATTATAATATTTATTAAAAAGCTAATTTTCTTTAATGGCGTGAGATTAGATTTGATCTCATCAAAGTCCCATTCTTCTCCAAAACCTGTGACTATGACTCGCCAAGTTCGGTAATTAATTAAATTCAATTTGTCAATTAAACAGGAAATATAATAAATACCCATTTTAATACACACTGTGATTGCAAGGCAAAGTCGAGTTATGCATATGAAACGACTGCGGAAGTAAATCATATCAATAAATACGACTGTGAAGATTTTTTGCGGAAAATAACGTAATCATAACAAAATAAACGTATAAATATATGAAAATCTCAAATTAAATAAATTAAAGAAAACATTAAATATTTCTATATATTCATTTTCCTCAAACTAAATTACGATATAAAGAAAATTTGTTTTAACTTGGGGCATTTTCAGTAATTTAAGATATAAAGAATTTAAAATACGATTTGGATAATTTTGGTATTTTGACCAATGGAAGATGAGATATGGAGATTCTTATTTCTTTTTCCGCAATTTGAGGTGTGGAAGACCAATGTTATAATAAAAGGGGGGCCAAATTCCATATTCTTGTGGGACCCTTGGACGATATATAATATATTTTTTTTAATATTTGATTTGATTCGTGAATCTAATATTCTAAACTTGAATTATTTACTGTATCATGAGTTTAGATTTGATAACAAAAATATTCGATATTGGGATTTAGATTCGGAAATTTCAGGTTATCGTAGAAATAATTTCGAATTTATGGTAAAATTAGAATTTTTCCATTTTTAGATAGAATTCTAAATTATAAAATCAAATATATTGGATCTAGAGTCAGATTAAATCGTGGATATATGACCATGGACCGTGTTGGGTGGTGAGGTCCTCGTCTATCTTATTGCTCCATTAATTTCTTAATTTATTACATTAATTATATCAAACTAGCTTTGCCGGATATTTTGGACTACTAGTCGTCTTCCTTCCTTTATTCAAAGAGAAAAAAAATATTTATTTATTTTCATCCATAAAACTCTCTAGAATTATTCTCTTTTCTTAAATCAACTTTCACCGAAAATTGTATCAGTGAACATCCCGTTCGAGCGAATGTAATGTATAGTAGCGTCTAGATATAGGGGTTAGTTAATTGTTATGCTTGTATATATATTGAGAAAACAGAGAAAAATAAAATCAGATCAAAATCTAAATCACCGACATACTTAGCAGATTATCACTGTTATTATCTTTTTCACAAATGTCAACCCACTCATAAAACACCTTATCCTATTTTTTCCTTCCTGACCTATGACAAATTGTCTTAGCTTTATCAGAAATATACACTTACTCTATCTTCCATACCTGAACCAAAATCGTTCAAAGAAACTGTTTTATCAGTTGATTGGAGAGAAGCCATGTATCACTTTTTCAATCAACAAACTGAGTCAGTACATGGCAAAGCCGATAACAGAACATCTGAAAGCAGCACAAAGAATCATTCGATACCTTAAAGCTAATCCTGGTCAAAGTTTGATGTACTCTGTTTCTCCAAAGGTTCATCTTAATGCCTTTGCAGATGCTGATTGGGGAACTTGCCCAGATACTCGACGCTCAGTTTCTGGATATTGTATATTTGTTGGAGATACTCTTGTGAGCTAGAAATAAAAGAAACAACATACAATATCGAGAAGTAGCACTGGAGCAGAGTATCGGTCTTTGGCGAATGCAACGTGTGAACTAATTTGGCTGATAATCTGCTTCGTGAACTTCATGTTAAGGTTCCAGCACTTGCAAATCTCTATTGTGACAATAAATCTGCAATCTATTTGGCTTCCAATCCCGTTTTTCACGATAGGATGAAGCACATTGAGATTGCTTGTCACATAGTTCGGGATAAGCTCAAATCAGGGTTCTTAAAGATACTACATGTTCGGACGGATTTACAACTTGCAGACATTTTTACTAAATCGTTGCAACCACTTACTTTCAAGTTGATGATTGATCGACTCCAACTCTCAAGTCTATATCTCCCTTTTCAAGACAGTGAGATATCGACTTGAGTGGGTGTATCAGTGAACATTATGTTCGAATGAATGTAGTGTATAGTAGCGTCTAGATACATGAGTTAGTTAACTGTTATTCTTGTATATATATTGATAAAACAGAGGAGAATAAAATCAGATGAAAATTTCGACTCTCTCAAGCTTTCTCCCTCTTCAATTCTTATTCTCCTTCGATTCCGAGTTTCTGATAAATTGTTATGATATAAATATATTTTTAGAATTATCGGGTATATATATAATATCCTATAAATTTATTACTATATTGTTTTAATACACAATTTTTTATATAGCTTGAGAGATACTATTCATTCGTAAACATGAAGTTTTCATGGATGACTAATATCGATTAGTTTTATTTTTTTTCTATATGTCAGTAAACTGAAAAATTATATTATTTTTTATTTATAGATGTGATATATATAGAAGAATTTTCTAAATTTTTTTATAATCTAAATGTAAATTTAAATTTGTAAAATATTAGATGCGATTATATAACTATTTGATAATATATATATATATATATATATATAAAGGGATTGTAACATGTGTTCTTCAAAAGATTGAATTTTTGTAAATATATTCTCAACAATTGGTACTTTTAACTGATGTACTAGATATTATCACTTGAAAATTGAAAGAATAAGACAATATATATATAATATTTTTCATAAAAAGGGGAGAAATAAATGAATTTAAATTTAATAAGAAAACTTTGGGTTGTAAAAAGGGACATTATCTTCAGTTATATATATTTAAATAAATATTGTAATATATATATAACTATAACTGAATAAAATATATAACTATAATTAAAATATTTTAATATTTTATTTAGATTCAATCCAAATAAAATAAAATAAAATTATAATTAAATTGAATATGGTATAATAATTGAATGAGGATGGTTTTTTAAAATGGAATGGAACTATCGAAACAGAAAACTAAATTTATCTTAATTAATAAAAAAATGAATATTTTAATATGAAAAAAATGAACAAGAAATCAAAATATCCGTGCCAACTAAACTATTCGTTTTATTTATTATAAAATAAATTATGAAATTGCAGCCGACAGAAAAAGGCAAACTAATGCTCACCGAACCATTCGGCCATCTGTTTATTTAATAACTGTTGCTAATTTTAAACTAAAATATCTTCCATAAACATATCCATAAGATTACTGAATTTTTCAATTTATTTATTTCAATGCTAATTTCAAAATTATTTTTATAGTAATAAATAAATACTATAAATATATTTAAACTGAATTAAAAACCGATAAATATATCAAAATTATAAGTTTTCAGAGTTTTTTGTTTATCGAAACAAAGATTTATTGGGACGTTTAAGATTTTAATCAGATAATTCAAAAAAATTAAAGAATTTGGATGTGTTTGTTAAAAAATATTAAAAAAAAACTAAAGAATTACATGGCCAACGATCTCTTGATTACCGGAATTTATTTCATATAAAATAACAATCGATGACCAAAAAAAACTCTAAGGCCAAATCTAATTCCTTTTTATCAAATTAACCTATAAAATTAAATAAAGGATGCCATAAATGTCTTAGCAGTAGTTATAAAAAAAAAGTGTATTTACAACGAAGAACAAGTAAAGTGAGAAGAAGAAAAATCTCAAAATCCTTGGAATCTTTCCGTATGAAATCTCAAAGATTGAATTCTCCTAACCCATTTGAATTAAAAAAACAATAAAAAAACAATAAAAATGCATCAGAACGAAAAGAAAAGAGAGTTAAAAAAAAAAACTGAAGAAAAAATAATGAGTGGCGAGACAGAACATATTCTACTTCAAGTTCGAGATACTGTCTCTGTTTCCGGCGGAGATTTTCCGGTGACGCCTTGACCCAGATCGTCTATCTCTTCCACGCCGGCCCGGTAGCCTCTTACCTATAACCCTTCCACGTGGCAGAGCCGGTGGCTCACGAAATCTAGCCACCCGAGCCACCGGAGGTGGCATGCTCATCAAAATGTCTCTATGATATACCTGTTAAAAGTATATATGCCCTCAATGTTATGATTCTCTTGTCTATACACAACAATGATAAGATAGAATACCTGTTTCACAAAATTACGTCTTTCACAATCCAAGAACATGTTGATTCTCCAATCTTCTACTCTCTCCCTTATCTTATCCCTTGCAATGGCAAAGCTTAGTTGGTCCCTGGAAGTAAACCGATCTACTTCGTTGAACCAAACGCAAGTGAAAAGATTCGTGATCGGTATGTGTTCCTTAATGATGGTGCAGCCCTCGGGAACATCTGCCGAAATACCACAAGATTCAACGAGCCCGGAAGTTTAAAAGAAAAAAGGAAAATCCGGGCATGTTGCATGATACCGATATATTTTACAGGCTTGTGCTCTTACCGCTGGTTATTGGGAGCTTAGCCTCGGAATATGGGGTTAAACCCTCTTTCTTGTAGAACTCTATTTGGTAATCAATTGAATCATTGTCGTATTTTCTCGCAGCTTTATTTGCCTCAGCCTCTTCAAACACGTCGAAACGTCTGTAGTGTCGCGAGATAGCAAAACTAGAATTCGAACGCCACAAGAACCTGACAAAAGATGACAGATTTGCTATTATCTGAGGTGCAATATATATAAACAAACAGAGTTGTCAATATTAAAACTATGGCAGTCTTTAACTAAACTTCATGACCGTTAAAGCTCAGTAAAAATACAACCAGAGAATGTAAACTAAATTTGTTAAAACATTTAGAAGATCGTTAAGCTTATACTGCTCACTAAACAGCTTCAACCTCAATAATGATGTCGAAAACCAGAGAAGAACGTCTACCTTTCAAGGATTTGATATGGGTCTACTACAAGCTGGAGCTTCGCATCAATCCATATGGAGTACCGGACATTTGGAAACAGCCTATGCAAGAGAAGCTTCGGGACCTGTAAAAATGGCAGATTCTTCATCAATGATGCCTTGCACTTTCTAGTTCTTGTCCAAATCTCGGATATTCCTTACTGTTCGGTAACAACGTCATTAGCCTGGCTAATCATAAGAAAAGAATGTTTGAAAGGAAATCCTTGACCTTTCCATTGCGCCTCGCATCGTTGTAAGGGACATTGTGCACAACAATGATTCTCCATAACCCCATCCTTTTGTTATCATCCGAGTATGTGGTAGTATTCTTAAGATAGGCTTCTGTTTCTTCATCAACAAACATGTAGAAAGGTACTTTCTTCCTTGCTACTCCACTAATATTCTGCGGTTCCTGAATTATGTCATATTTCCCTGAAAATTTCAAAGTGAGGTGAAGTAGAGAGAGCATTCAAACGACAGGTTTCACAGGAAGTTTATATTTTCAGCAGTACCAAATACAGCCGATGCAACAATGACATCATGGAACTGCTCCAACTCATCAAGGATATCCTCATCAATGTCAAATCCACTTTGAAGTCCTGGTTTCTTTCCTTTAACAAATCTTCAGAAACAAAAAAAAAAAAGGAGGAAGACCTTATCAAGAAGCAAACTCTTTATGCCATTAAGCTAAAAGGAGTTAACTGTGAAGGAGAGAAGCCTACCCACAATGCACTGCCATGGACTGCCTTACATCAAAAGAGTCATTCCTCTGTTCTAGAGAAGGGTAGCCTCCAAATTCTGAGCCTCCTTGGCCTTCTCGTTTTAGAAGGGTATCGTCACGGAAGTAGGTCAAATTCTTGACCACTGGAGATTCTGATGGGTATTTCGGCATACGTGCAAAGGCCTCCTCCGGAGAAAGATAGCATACTGGACAGGCTGAGCAAACAAAGGCAGAGAAAGCAGTCAAACTCCAGCACAGATTGTTCGCCGGAGAAGAAGCCAATTAACGAATGAGCAAATCAAAACTAGGACAAAATTGCAATTGATTTGCGAAAATATAAATGTGAAAAGGAAATATAAAATGAAACGGAGCTTACGGCGTGGTCCAGGCCTTCTCAGTCCAGGCGGCGGAGGAGGAAATGAAAAACTCTCGCATGGATGGCGCAATGGAGGAGGATGGACTATTTCTACATCACTTCCTTCGTCGTTATTCCCCCAAAAAGAATCTTGAGTTCCAAGTGCTTGGTTACTGCTAAAACCCATCGTTCCGATATGCTGATAAATATATGGACTACTGCTCTCTGTTGTGTCAATCAGATAATATTCAGTCAAAAGGGCACAACACTCAGTTACTACCCAATCTGATTACCCGGCCTCCATATGATAGAAACTACCCACAATAAACACACCGATAAAACCTTAAGACCCAAATGTACAGCTATGAAACCCAAGAAAAGAAAGTTGAGAAAAACGCATTAGCATATTCCATATAATGCCGTTTTCCTATAGTTGAAACTCTTCATCATGATCTCAACAAGTCTGAACTCCGAATAAATAAACCAAACCATTCAAACTCCACACCATAAACAGTTATAACAAAGAAGCAGCTCGGTTTTACCTTTGTTGACCGTGTAAGAACCCAGAACAAAGACCACGAGAGCGAGGATAAGAAGCAGAAGCATGGCAACTCGTCTGCTGCCTAAGCACCAGCAACATAAGGAGGAGAGAGATCTCTCCTTCTCCTTAGAGTTTGAAGTGAGCATCTTCGAAGAGGCTCTACGGGCAAAAGCCGAAGATTTTGTTGTCTGAAGCAACGAGCCATAACTCCCGCTACGAAGTCCCAATGACTGTCCAGTCATTGTATCTCAAATCCCTTGGATCGAATTATCATATCTCCTCCTACCAAACCCTTTTGAACTCACTCCAATACTCCTCCACAAGCTTACCAAAGAACTACGTCCACATACATTGCACAAGAGAGCCACAAACCAATGAAGGGAATGAATCAATTCTACAGAGAAAAAAGTTCGTACGAACACCCTTTTGACGGTTGAATCCAGCGGCGGGATCGGCGACAGAGTTCAATAGGTTTCAAGTGAAGTCGATGATCTCAAATGGAAATGCGATTCAAATCTGACGCCAAACATCTGCAGATTTTCACCAGGAAGAGACCTTGTTCAAATCGCGATTCAATCGATACATAAATCGAAACAGGTAATTGCCGATCAGAGATTCAACAGAACCCATAAATCAAATTCCGAAAAAAAAAGAAGAAGCAAATCGAAACAGAATGGAGAGAAAGTTCCAGGAAATTCCACAGATTCCAGAAGAAAAAAAATTACCCTTTTTTACGAACTCGACATTCCAATTAGCCTCTGGATTTGCAAAGTCATAAAATGGCGACGAATTCTTTGCATACTGCTCCCTCCGTTCCGGGTAATATTGAGTATTTTATTTTTCCTTTTTTCTTCAAGGGGAATTTTTATTTGGAGTTTTTTTTTTTTTTTAATTTTTTACAAAAACAATATCTAATCTCTTTTCTTTTTTAGGACCACTCTTCAATAAATGAAAATTCTCTCCAAAAATATTATTTAAATTAGGGCTGAAGTTTTGAGATTCATTCCGTTATGCATTAGTTTTATTTCTAAAAAAATGTAATTATTAAAGCGAAATACATGAATTTTCTGTTTATCAAAATAAATACAGCAACTTTTTTTTTCAAACTATCAAACAAATATTTGCGCTACGGAGTCCGTATATATGGACAAATTCAGAAAACAAAACTAAGGACAATATCCACAGAATATATGTTATCGAAACTGGTGATGCGGTTTCTCTTTTATTTGCATTTTGGATTCAAGCAATGATCAGAAGATATGTGTTGCCGGAATGTTCATGTTCAAGCGTTAGATTCGGCGTTAAGAGTTCAAAGCGTATCCCTTGGGGACAGATTCAGCGTCAATCTCAGACATCAAATGTACTCACAACAGAAACTAAAGTCACTCAAGTTTAGGCGGATGGATTCCAACAAACTTGGAAACCCAATCTGAAGCAGTCTTTTTTAAGCATGGCATGGCCTGCGGCCAAAAAGCCAACAAAAATACATTAACATGATCCTTTTTTTTGAGCTTCTCTTTTTTTATTCATCAGATTTCTTCTTCTTCTTATTCTTCTTCTTCTCGCCATCACCATCGTTAGCAGCAGCCATCTCCTCCTCCTCACCTTTGCTGCTCTTCTTCTTCTTCTTCTTCTTCGACGATTTCTCACTGGTCTCGTTGGCTTTCTCCTCCTGCTCTTCTTCCGTCTTCCGCTTCTTCTTTTTCTCCGACTTAACATCACTGTTTGGGTCAGCACTTGGTTTGTCCTCATCCATGGCGTACCCCTCCTCACCTTTCGACTTCTTCTTGCTTTTCTTCGCTGAGGCCTCCATGGGCTCTTTGTCTTCTCCTAAAGCGCACACATATGGAACACTGAATCTTTGCACATGGGGCTCTTAGGATATCATCACTCGACTTTCTTTTTGTTAAAAAGCAGTACCTTTGTCCTGCAGAGTTTCCAAGACTTCCTTCATTACATCCAGATTCTTACGAGGTGCAACGCCCTTGTCGTAGAAATCAAGCCGTTCCTCAACTTGCTCGCGGAGCTTCTCACCAAAAGCTGTAGTCCCCTTCTCTGTACGAAAACATGCAAGGCTCAAATCAAGTGGGAAAAGAATTGACAACAGATCTCACAAACCCAAAGTGGTAAGGCATTTCACTTTTTACCAGCAAAACAATCAATCCTAGAGGCAATTGAACACTTGTTTGCAAGATAACGAGCTATACGACCCTTGTTCTTTGCAGATGCTCGGCCAATAAATGAAGAATGGAAAATCAAACCATACTTGGGCGTGTTTCCACGTGTTTTCAGCGCCCTGAATGTCATACCACACCAATTAAACTCATGCAATGCATATATTATTAACAAAAAAGCTAAACTCATTAAGGTTGAGAACAGAGGCACCTGAAAAGTGCCTTTTCGGCTCCAAGGATCTGAAGGGTTGAAGACGGGCATTTAGCAAGGTTTGTCAGACTTCCAGCATGCGAAATCAACCGGGCACCAACCATTTCTCCAATCAAGGCCGCCAAGTTAGGAGCGATGTCATTCATCTTAGAAACAAGATAATCATAAAGCTTCTTTCTGTACTCTGAGAGGTCCATAACTCTGTGAGCAAAGTTCTGAACATTGATCAAGTCAATTGGCGATAGATCCTGACCTACAGAGATGAAGACAGACAACATCTTCAAACAAGGACGACTAGAAACACATAATAAAGCAACCTAACTATCAATGGGTAAGGCATGAAAATATACCCATAGATGCTTTTCCAGCTTCAACGACCTCCTTGGCCTTGTCTTCATCTCCCAGAACTTCAGTCAACAGTGGCACGTGCTCTTCAGAGAGCTTCGACTTGTCCTCAATGATTTTAGCAACCCGGGCATAAAGGTAGTTGTCATTGACTATCTTCACTAGTTCCGGAAAGTGCCAAGAATACCATTCTCTGCAAAAAAGGTTATATGATGTTCCTTAACCATCATTCTTAAAGGTAATAGGCGACTGTGTGTACCTAAAAAAAAGTGAAAAAACCAACCTGACTCTCATAGCAAAGGAATTAATATCTTTATCAAGCGTATCAAGCAGGAAAATAGCTTGGATAACCATGTTGTCTACTCGGTTAACGTTGAACTTGACCTTTGCTCGGCTGTAGCTGTGAGCCAAACCAAGTTGAGCTTTTTCCAGGTCACCAGGCTACGTTATGGGACAAGAGTTAGGGGTATGGAATAGGAAGGGAAGAAGAGAGAGAGAGGGAAGAATTAGGTGCCCCAAGAAAAATCACTGAAAATCAGATTATGCTGAATGCACACCTTCAAGTCCTTGATGAACCTATCAAAATGTTGACGCACACCACGAAGAAGCTCAAGCACAAACTCATTGCTCTGGCAGGGAATCTTAGTAGCTTCACATATGTGTGACCCGAGCTTTGGTTCTGCCACTCCTAAACTGAACTTGGGTTTTTTGTCTTGCTTGACTTTTGGAAGATTCAGCTCCACAAAACTCCTCAGTTCATCGGTCATGAGACCTGCAAAATACGGAGAAACCCAAACAAAAACTTAATACTTGTAAAGCAACCACAAGCGAATCCAAAACCAGAATATAATGAGCTGATTCCATCTTTGTCAAGCACTGTAATAGTCTGGTTTCATTCTATAAATCAATAAATATGGGGAATAAAGTTTCCTTATTCTCAAATTCAACAGAATATAGAAAAGAAGTCAAATTTCTTTCCTTTAGGCTTTAGCTCATAGAAATCTCTACAAGGTACTACCTCAAAAACCATTCCTCCCGATTTCGATCACGAGGAAATTAATAACTTTATGAAGAATGAGAGATTTATGGAGAAGAAGGATGATGAATGGAAGATTTCTGATTGAAAGATTATTCTCTCATTGAAAAACGCCATTGTACAAGGCTACATCTATACAGAGTAAAATGGAGAATAACAAAACTAACGAATGAACCAAATCAAAATCAAACCAAAATCAACATCGGAGCAGGTTGTACCGAAAAATCAGATAAGCAGTGCATGTGCAGAATGTCGAAGTGCAGAGCCGCAAAAAGAAAAAACCTGTAACCTTGACATTTTCTGGTCTGATAGAAATCAATACACATATTGCAAACGGCAACATTAACGAAACCAATAGGCAAGCATAAACGAGAGATTCACCAAAAGGCAGACAAAGAGCTCTTATTTATCCATTCCCTAACATTTTTCAGCATTGACCCAAACAGAACACAGATCATCCCTGCAAAGAGCTCGATGCAAGAATGCGAGAGCGTCGAGAGCGGACTCGAAGGGGTGAAAAGCCGTGAGCTTGACGACCCGACCAAACCGGTTGAGGTCGGAAACAGAGCTCCGGACAGCTTCGGTGTTCTGTCCGATCTCGTCGAGACCATGCGCTTCGAACAAGGCGTAGCCTGAGGACGATTCGTAGAGAAGATTGAGTGTCATCGTAGAGAGAATCAAGAAACCCTGTCGGAGATGCGCTAGGGGTGGGTTTGTGCGTGCAGGGAATTAGGGTTTAGGCATCTGGGCGAAGAGAAAGAAAGGGGGGGGGGGACATTAGGGTTTAAACATCCACAAGGGCAAAGAGAAAGAAAGGGGGTGTTTGTGGGCCATTGAATAATAAATAAAGCCCACTAAAGCCCATTGAATAATAAAGCCCATGAAGTCTGCTTGCTTACAGTTGCAAGTTCTGTAGGGTGATCCAAGAAGGAAGTATCCCCGACCAATCATTGTATGGTATGACACATCTCTCAAAAGGTGGACCCGTGTGAATTCAATGTTAGGATGTGAATTTGTTTTATACGATACCTATGAATTTGATGCTGGATTTAAATTTATTTATATACAAACAACCATTATAAAAAAAAAAAAGATTTAAATTTGTAATGAAAATGGGCCGATTCGGTTCATTGTCTAAAAATGGACAAGGCAAAGCAAACCCAAGAATAATTTTGTGTAAATCCATCTATATAATTAAAATAATCTAAACGAATGATTTAATAAAAGAAAAACAATTACCCACTCACTGAAACATGTCTAGCGTTCGAGATGATATAATAACAGAAACATCAATATCCATAAATAGTCGTACGCATTCGATTACATTTTTCTTTAGAATATGGTATGTTACGTGATACTCAACTAATCTCCATGAAGTACTTTAATCGAATTTCTTCTTCTTTCTCCAACTTGAATAAAATTTTTAAACAGACAAATAGATTTTAAAACAATTAAATAAAAAAATCCAACAACGGGTCATAGTCATCAAATAAAGGAATACGGAATCCAAAAAACAAACAAACAAACTAGTTATATTGTATTATTAAATCTAATTGATTTAAACATTTGAAAAAAAACGAAATAGATATAAAAAAAAATTAAAAAATAAAGAAGAAGAAGAAGAAAACTATTGATATATATATATATACACATATTCTCAACAAGGAAACATGTTTAGAAAAGGAAAAATAAAAATAAAAAAGTTGTTGTGTATATATATATATATATATATATATATATATTAGTTTCTCTAGTTATAGTTTCAGTGGAGAATATATATTCATTTGTTGGAATCGAATGCCATAGGGAAAATACTACCATTTCATAGATAATTATATTTATTTTTCTATGTATAATTTAGAATATATATATATATATATATATTTATATATTGAATTCTATTATGTTTATTTGGTAAAAAATTCTATCGTTATATTAACCTGCTATATTTCTAAATTTGGGGGTTAGTGATCAATAATAACATATGATTAGAAATAAATGTTTTGTAAGATCAAGGTATTTATGGTAGATGTGTGATAAGTGTTAATTATTCATAAAATGCAAAAGGTGTGACGGTGATGATGTTTTAACCAAATAGTAAATGTTTTGTCGCAACAAAATTTATTCATTTTTTTACAATGAAACTCTATTTTTTTTCCTGGTTTTATAAACTTAATTCTCAAATTTTTTTAAATTAATATCTCAATTTTATAATTATTTCAATAGAAAATTTATTTTATTATATAATTGTTTATCATTCAAATTTTCTATTTTAGATAAATTTTAATTATAATAATTTATTTTAAAAAATAATACTTAAAATGTATTCATATTTGTTTATGAAGCAAAAGCTTTTTTTTAAAGAATCTATTTAGCTATTTTTTATTACAAAATAAATTT